CCTATTGGCTCACCCCCCCCCCCCCCCCCATAATAGAAGACCCCCATTTAATTGATTAATTGTTTGCTAATTACGAACTTTAATTAGCGTTTTTCCATCAAAACATGCCTGATTCTTAGCATTTTAAGCTGCAAATATTAAGAGAATGTGTTCACAATTCTAATGACACCTTTAAAACCCTGAAAATCACCTTAGTTTTCTGGGAAACCTTTTAAATTAAATATTAGGGGAATTGTGATTCTTAATACAAGAGCCCCCCCCCTGAAAAAGTTTTACTCTGGAACATAATAGAAGACCCCGGGTCTCTTATTGTGCGGGGTGGGGGTGTGTGGTTAATGTAACTATGTTTCATAATAAACCTATAGTAGATTTCAGTTTCGTAATGAATTCTGTCACCAACTGCTAGATACATTTTTTTATATTTTAACCGGCATTTCTTTTTCATTTAATGTTTCATGAAAAATTAATGACATTTTTTCTTACTATTACAATCATTGTGACGTCAATATGAATAAATAAATTTGGTATTAATCATAGCTTAGTCATATGAAATATTTAACGTAGCTAGTGGTGCTCTATTGTAAATTACCTTGATTAATAAGCCAAATGTCCTTTTGTTTATGTATTTTTATGTATAATTGCAATATAAAAAAGGTCAGAAAACGAAAAACAATGGTAAGGATATAAATAAATGCAGTAAAGAAAGAAAACATTGTCTACTTCGTCTTCGAGCCTCGATTTAATAAGCTATTGTTAATATATTGATGTACAAAGTTTACCAGTAATTCTCATTTTCGAGAACATTTAATTTAGATATCGAACTATATTATGCATTGCTTTATTTACAGTACTGCGCATAAAATTATTTTTTTTTACCCTATCGATTCAAGAGAATTTTATTCATAGACGAGAAAAAAGAAATTTCATTAGAATTTTTTCACTAAATGAGTTTGACAGGCAGCAGGCGAACAAGAGTGTATTAAATAAAAGGTCGTATATCCAAAAAAAAAAGAAACAGTTGTCGGGTAGTTGAGTGCATTTGAAAATGCTTTTAAGATTTCAATTATATCGAAAAGTACCAAAATATTATCAGGTGAAAATTAGATGGAGTTTCTTCTTCTACGTGCGCAACCTGAAGGCAAACGGTGTCTCGACGGCGACCTCATCTTTTAGAAAAAAAAAGTAATAAAACTTCGTCACGTAATCATAAAAAAAGAATCCTTGACATGGCCTAAAGGGAAGTCAATGCATTAAAAAAACCATCAAATAAAAGCGTGCATTAAAACTTTGGATTATCATGATTTAAACAACAAAAATATTTCATAGAATTAAAATTAAATTTATGGCGCTTTTCTGTATGACGTAAGTCATCATCAATAAATAACCTAATCAGAGAGAATCTGGGTCATTTAGGAAATATAATAGCACAGATATACAACAAGGATTTTTTCCACATCGTTATATATACTATATACTTTAAAATGCACTATAAAATTGAAAATAATAAAACTTTAGTTGACCCTAAAAAGAAGTATTTTCGGGATTCTTTTCTTATCTAAATGGTAGACCTCTATTGTTATCTTTATTCTGCGAACTATGAGATGTGCGACACATTGCTCGACTTTAGCTGGACATATTTGTCAATATGAATAGGATACTGCGTATTTGAATTCTTTAACCAGTCATTCAATATTTGCTAACTGCTTTCCATCCCTTGTTCATCTCTGCTCCTTCTTCTGTCGAAAATAGAAATAATGGTCGAAAACAAAATTAATCGGCATCCTGTTTAACTCTGATTTAGACTAGAAAGAAGATGCACTCTCTGAACGCACAGAATACATCAGACCATTAAATATGCAATAGTCGAACAATTATAGATCACTGAATAGGCACACAGTAAATGAAGTCATCAAAATTCTAATTTGTTTTTTGTATTTTTCTCAAAGCTCAATACTAAATGGGGTTGAACTGAAATTTTTGTTCAAGAATACTAATTACTATTTCCGATGGATATTTTTGCTTGATTTGAGAAACTTCATCAAAACTTCTTCTAGAAAAAAGCAAAGCATATATTTCCGAGAGCTAATTTTGTTGTTGGAAGAATAAATTGCATAGAAATCTTTCTTGACTAAGGCCCACAAAAGAAGCAGACAATGAGGCTACGTTTAAATTATTCAAACCATTCTAGTATGCTACTATTACTTGAATTTCAGTTTAAAATCTAAGCAGTTGCATTCGGTTTCAAGTCTTCATCGTGTAACTTTAATTAATCAAAATACTCACAATTAGTATTGTTATTATTGGACGTTGAAATTGTTGTAATAGTAGCCAATGTTTGACATTCAATAGTATTACTTTCTTCTTCGATTGTATCCGGCGATGATGATGGTGGTGTAAAAAATCCAAATCGTAATGGACTTGTACTTGTTACTGGAATATTATTTTGATGATTTTTTTCATTACTATTTTTTGAATCATTTCGTTCATTATCATCATCATAATCTTTTTTAATTATTGTTAAACCATTAATCGCATCAATGATTAGATTTTTCGTTTTAATAGTTTTTGTTATCGACGATATTGATGAACAACTATAAATATGCGATAATTTACGATTTGAGTGATTATTTGTTTGTTTTTCATTGAGTAGAGGTTCAAGATTAATTTGAAATGAATCAACACTAAATTGCCATTGTCGTTTAAGATGTTCAACAAATTTCAATTCAAGATTCTGTCCGGCATAATTTTGTAAAGATAATAATGCCCATGAATCTTGTTCGGACGATATTTTAATATTCTTGTTTGCATATGTATCAAGAACATTTGACAAATAATGATGCGTGTATTGCTGTGATTGTTGTTGATTTGCTTTTACATCTGTTATATGTTCTAATAAACATGAAGATACAATACACTTAATAATTGTCCATACATCACATAGATAGGGTTCATTATTGGATGAAAATAATTTTGTTTTTTGTTCCGATGACAATGGAGTCTTGATATGTATTAATATATCAATATCACGATAGACAAAATTTGAATCATTAACAAGTACATAGGATGCAGCACCACCATTTATACGAATGCTTGTTAAGTCGATTGAATATTCTTTTAATTTACATAAGACTTGTCGAAGAAAATTTCGTGGTGTTATATTTAATGTTGGAAATGATGATGGTGGTGATGGACATATTGGAATCGAACGATCTAATATATGTCGTAATTTATCTGTTTGTTCACATGTTAAATATACTTTTGTATTATTATTATTATTAGTAGTAGTAGTAGTAATATTATTGGTCGAGGTCGATGAACTATTTGAAACGTGCATTCCCTTTTTTTACTTCTTAGTCGATGGCTTTTTTATTCTTTATTTCTAGAAAATACAAAAAAAGAAAGATATTAGATTATCCTAGCTATTTATATACATATACATCTGACTGTATAAATAAATAATAGCGAAGGCGACGACCGCAACACAGAATAATAATAGTAAACAAGCTGAGAAAAGAGATGAAATGGAGGTTTTTCTTTTAGTCACGCGCACACGTAAACCATCCTCTTGTTGTGCCTCGGCATATTTTTCTTTATATATAAACGACAGAAAGGAAGAAAGAAAGAAAGAAAGAAAGAAAGAAAGAAAGAAAGAATGAATGAAAGAGAAATAGTCATAGTAAAAACTACAGCAACAACACCATCGAAAAATAGGACTCTGGACGATTCTTTTGAAAGAAATTAGTATACTGACAAACATCAAAAGTTCAGAGAATATATGCTGCATGCGATTGGACATAGAAAGTGACATCTGAAATTTGAAATACGGCTTTCTTTTTCTGATAAATAAATATTGACATAGTGCAACCTCATAACTACGGAGGTGTTTTCTGTGTTTTTAATAGTCACGTAATAAAAATGAAGAAACAGCTGAATATATTGGTTTGTACCTGATACTTGACAAACGAGTTAGCTAAATATTATCTAAATTTATTTATCTGTACTCTTAAACGCCTATGTAACATCGATAATCTACAATCAATTCTACCCTGCTGTTACAATTATTCTGTAAAACTCTAAGGATTCATTTGTTTTATCAATTATTATAAATCGAATTTTCTCAAATAAAAAATAAACAATAGTGATAAAATATTTTTCTTCGTTGCCCTTTTTTTTCCATATTTTATGATCGAATTTTCCAATGTTTTTTGTTTTCCTTGAAACTTCATCTATAATCCCTATTTAATAAATTAATCAAATGAGTCACAGAAAAACTTACCCAATCTAATTAAAATGAAAGTTCAAGTGATTTTTAAAACCTATACAAACACAGGTATTCTGATGGATGTTTCATTGAAACATGCTATTGTGCTGAATATCTAAAAATAATTTTTCTCCCTCTAGATATATAATGAAAGATATAAATAGCAAGAGAATTTTATCTTCCATTATATTCTATCACCTATGAATTATATTAGTTATATTAAATCTAGAAGAGAAAAAAAAACACTCGAAGACAATTCTATGCTGATTGTAAGTGTTTGAAACAACGAAGAAAAAAGCTTGCCGAAAATAATAATTACTCTACCGGTGTCAAAAGAATAATTAAATCTTTTAAACTTGGAAATTTTTCAATTAAATATGATCTTTTTGCACATTCAAAATCTTTATCATCAAATCCTGGCATACAGGTACATCCGCATAGAGTATAATTATCCATGGTATCATCCATCTTTGTTTTGATGATTTCAGCTGCAAACCATTTTCCATGAGAAACAAGAATTTGTGGCCGAGCATTGATGTCTACCGTTAAATCTGATGTTAATATGTGTTTAGTATACGACGAGTCTTGTTCATCTAATACATGTATAAATAATGGTAAACCACGATAGAAATGCCACATTTCATCTGCTTTTATACGATGAAAAACGCTCACTGGTGATTCAGGAAATTTAAGTAAATAATAAATTGCTCCTGAACATGAACGTATTTGTTTATTATAACGTTCAAGTACGCATTGATCATCACTCATATATGTTTCTGAATAAAATCCTCCTTCTGGATGTGGTTTTAAATTTAGTAAACAAATCCAATCATCACCTTGTTTATTTTTCGGCTTATCAGTCATTAATATTTGAATAGTAGACGACGAATGATTAATAGTTAAACGAAATACGCAAAGGATAAATATACATATATGTAATAACCGTCTACGATAGATGACCTTCTGCTTAAACGAAGAGAAAAGAAGAAAAACAAGAAAGATTTTCTATCACTGCGTTGCTATATGGAAAAAAAACTCAATTAATAGAGCTTGTATGCACGTCGTATAAAAATCTAAAGGAAAAATAAAGAATGTTTTCTAGATAAAAAAAAAGGTGCCTTATATAAGACATTAAAAAAACAAAAAAAATAATCTTATGAAAGATGAAACGACATTTTAAAACTCATTCTATGGATAATCACATGAGTATGAACTGGAAGTTAAAAATAGTGCAAGTAACAACTCACAATCGCAATACTAAATACCGAGTCGTAGTAGTAGTTGTGAAATAATACACTAAGAATTAGACGAACGTATTGTGATGAAACAATAGAAAAGAAAAAAGAAGAGGAACGGAAAAGTGCTGAATATGAAAGAAAAAAAAAGCAACGACACAAGTAGAAAAAAAGGAGTTGCATGCTAACTACTAGTCGTTTATTATGACATCACTGTGCAAATATTTTTATTTGATAATAATCAGTTTTAACTCCAAAAGAATATCAAATATTTTCATGAAAATTAAATATCATTTATGTAGCATGGAGAAAAAAAACTAGTTATCAGACATAAAATCTCAGGACCTGCAGCTACAGTAATGTACTTCAATGTATAAGATGCGCACGATAATAGTACATTATGTACTGTACAATATACGATAGTGGAGGAATAGAACGAGTAGCTTTTATAGTTAATATTTATTTGAAGGACATGAAAACTCGACCAATAAATAAACATGATACATGATTGTAAATGTATCATCTATTTTTAATGAGTGGTATTTCGATCGAAAAAATATGATCATTTGTCTACATTGAAGCTGACAAATAAAACCTGTGTACTTATTTATTGGAGATGAAAAATTATAATCGTTTCGAAAACCTATGTTTACATATCTTCATATGGATTTTAGAAATATTGTTGTATCTACTAAATCGTAATATACGTTTAGATTTTCAAGTAATGAAATTCACCCCGATCGATCATATGATTATATATTTGATCTGCACCGCCTACCATTTATAATGTTTCTGTTAAAGAATTTAATATACCTTTGATTTTCAAGTTTCTTGAATATATTAATTCTTCAAACCTTTTTTTTCTCGGAATTATACTTTATTCATGCATACTAACGAGTTTAAAACGACATATTGAATATACTCTCTTATGTATTCCATAGAATGAGTTTTCTTATTATGGATAGCACATAGAAAAGTCTGTCGTCGTCATATCTATATATTTTCATAGTACATCGGTAGTCGTTCGTGTGCACACATCTTTCATTGTTGAGTTGAGCTGCAGTAGAAAAAAAAGAATGGGCTGAGAAAAAGAAGAAAACGACTTGTTCTAATTGTGATGTGTGCGTGTTTGAAAAAGAAAATTCGAAAATGCTTAGATTGATGACAGCATTCAATGGCAGAGAAAAAAATAGCAAATAATGCATGGTGCCATTTCAAACGAAGCGGAAAGAGAAAAGCTAATCTCAAATGTTCGTTGTGCTTTTGCTATCTTTATTCTTTCTTATTATATCTTGCCAAATATGTCTATCGTGCAACTAAATATTACTAGAGTTTTTCTATTGTTTTTGTAAGGATCTGTATGCTTGTCTAATCTTATTTAACACAAAACAAATTGCGAAGGTTTTCTTCGATATTCCTATTTCTAAAGGATTTTATTCACTGTGGCACGGTAACCTTCTAAGAATGTAACATGATTTTAATCTACTTATGTATGTTGATATGAAAATTGTTTCGATTTTTGTTTGACGTTGTTCTCCAATGATCTGACTTTAATTGTTAATTGTTTTACGCCATATAACCCACTCCATGATTTACGGGTTAATCTACTTTCTTTCAAACTTCAATCTAAATTTTTATATCATGTGAGTTATATCAATTAATATATTTCCGTTTTGTTTAAATCATTTATTCAACAAATAAAAATTAAAAAAAAAGAGGTTTTCTTTTGTATTCAAGGAAAAATGTGATCGTATAAAATATTCATAGGCCTTCGTTGAAGCTTAGAGAAAATCTTACGTCTTAAGATTTATGTATTCTATTAGCTCATCACAATAGAACGAATAATAAAAGAAAAAAGGTTTCAAGATTAAATAGTTTTAACTTGCATCATAAAAATGTCAAACTTCTTTGTTTTACTCAATTAAAACACCAACACAATCTTCTCAAGATTTGTACAAAATTATAGCCATGCTCATTCTTCAATTTAATCCATAATGTATTCAACAAAAAAAAATAATAAAGGACAAAAAGGACACGCACTTCATTTAAATCCTAAGCTGATCATTCGATATGCTGGAGCAACAACATATGTGTACACATACTTATAATGTATACACAAAGCAAAGACCATCAGTAGTGCGAAAAAGTGAACATTCGTGTCATCGCAAAGATATGCCCAATAGGAGGGAGAGAAGTTGAACGAAAGAAGAAAAAGGCGAATAGGGATTAACTAGTAAGGATATTGCCTCTCAACTGACACACGTACTAAAAAGGAAAAAATAAAATAAAATGTCGCCGCATCGAGTTTGATTATACGTTGCATAAGACCATCTTTCCTTGTTTTGTTCATACTCTACATAGTTTATATTAGTGAATCAAATTAAATAACATTCACTCATTCATCAAAAAGGAATTTCAATTAGGCAACAATCCTATGTGCAGTCTTCCTCCTCGCTTTTCGTATCCGGCCAAAATAAAGTAACAGAGAAGCAGTAGGAATAAACAAAAGAGATCAACATTGTTTTGTGTGATTGAATAATCGCACATTGCTTTTTTATCTTGTCAACCAATTGTGGCTCATGGCAGCATCATCAGTGAGAAGACATGAGGTTCGTCGTGTCGTTCGATCGTCTTCTTCTTCTTCTCATCAGTTTCTTACTACAACATGTACATATTTGTTTAACATTTACTGATAATAATCGTTTATACTATGCGAAAGTAAATTATAATTTTGAAATTCAATATAAGTTTTTTTCTTCTTCTACTAATTCTCATTTATTTGTTTATCGTCAGGAATTTTTACATCGTTTTGGTTATATAAAAACAAATGATTCATCTTTGGAAATAGCACCGCCAGCTGTTAAAGCATTTCAACGTTTCATTGGTCTCAATCAAACTGGTATCATCGATGAATTAACTTGGCAAAAAATGCGTGAACCTCGTTGTGGCAATAAAGATCTTCGACGTATCCAACGAAGAAAACGTTACATCCTTCAAGGTATATTCGAGTCTCCAAAATTCGTTTGATTATTTTATTGAGAGCGTTGCTTCATTTTGTTTTTTGATTTTATTCAAGGAAGTCGTTGGCCATCTAATGAACCGCTGACCTTTCGTATAGTTAAATATCCAACAACATTTCCACAACAATTTGTTGATGCTGAATTAACAAAAGCTCTAAAGGTTAAGCGTTTGTTTTATTGATTGTCCAGATTTTATTTGACTGTCTCGCTGTTCTAGCTATGGAGTAGTGCGTCAAGTCTTGAATTCGAACATCGGAAATTAAAGAAACGAGATGCTCTCAAAGCGAGTAGTTTAGATCATAAAACAGATATTAGAATATCGTTTGAAATTGGTGATCATGGCGATACAGAACCATTTGATGGGCCTGGCAATGTACTTGGCCATGCATTTTTTCCTCAATATGGGGGTGATGCTCATTTTGATAATGATGAGTATTGGACAATGAAAAGTAAATTGAAATCTATGATTGAATATTTCCTTCGACGTCTTGTGTTTGCTATCTAGGTACAGATGGTGTTAATCTTTTTCAAGTTGCCGCACATGAATTTGGACATTCGTTAGGACTCGAACATTCAAATAAACCTGATGCTATTATGGCCCCGTGTATGTAAATGTTGTAATTTCAATAATAAGAGAAAAATAAGGAGAGAACAACCCTTTTCAATTCTTATTCGTATGAAACCTTACGAAGTCTTTATGATATCGATTTTAATATATGTTAAAGTTGCATAAATGTTTTTTGAAATCTTACCAAATCAAACATTCTGACATCTAAATAGTTGATATTTAGATATTTCATTGACTTGAGAAACCTTATGAATGAAATGTTTCAAAACAAATTCAGATGATCTTGACATAAAAATGCTTTTGATTCGTTTGTTGTTTAGTTTTCAAAGGTTATACTTCCAATTTTACACTACAGGAAGATGACATTCGAGCTATCCAAGCATTATATGGTATTTTCTATTAAAATATTTTCAAACAGAACACCGTTGATTTATTCTATAGGTGGAAAACCATCGAAATCGTTTTCTTCCCCATTATCTAATAGCATTGAAACTTTTCAACCTGCATCAAAACAAATGGCTCCATCCGTTAAATCCTCAAATAAAGTTACATCTCTGTGTCAAGATCCTCAATTCGATGCTATTATCACTATTGATGATGATACCTATATATTCAAAGGTATAAAAATTATAAAATAAAAACTATTAAGCTAAGAATATTTTTTCTTTATTCATAGATCATTTAGTATATCGACGTTCAAAATCGTCTATGGACACTGAATATCCAAAACCAATTCGTGATGTATTTGGCCGTTGGGAAGGTGGCATATGGCAAACTATACCTGATAAAATCGATACAGCTCTAACATGGCCTAATCAACAGATATTTTTTTTCAAAGTAATATTTTGTTGACCGACCTTTTGTTTTCTGTCGGATCAATAGTTTCTGTTCGTTTTTAGGGTAAACATTATTGGAAAACAATTCGTTTTCAACTACAAACAGGTTATCCACGTTTAATACGAGATGGCTTTCGTGGTCTTGATGAACAGCATTTTTTTACTGGTCATCTGAATGCTGCTTTTGTTTATAGTGGTGATAATCATACATATTTCATTAAAGATGCCATGATATGGCGATTACATATGAATCTAGAATTTAGTAGTTCAATCGATATTGATTATCCTCAATTTGTTTCACGTTGGTTAAATATTGGAGAAAAAATAACAAGTGCAATACAATGGATTAATGGTCTAACCTATTTTTTTTCTCATAAATATTATTATCGATATGATCATGTTCATCAACAAGTAAATATAAGAAAGATTAAGAAAAAACAAAAATCCAACATGCTATTTCTTTTGAAAAGGTTGCTGATTCTTATCCAACATATCCTCGTCCAATATCTGAATGGTGGCTTCAATGTAATCCTGGAGCATCGCCATCATCATCATCATCATCATTATCCTCTGCATATTCCGATTTACCTCGATGGAAACGTGCTGCTATTATATTCGAATCGAATTATACTAATGTCGAGAATTCGAATTATAATAGTGGCCGTTGTGAAAACGAACAAAATTTATTTCTAATAAACATTTCTATTTTCATCATCACATATTACCTGTGATACCCTCCTTAGTTGAAAATTTTATTTTTTGCGTCGCAATTAGATCTGTCTCATTTTTATCGTTAATGGCAAAAGAAAAGCAAATAACAAAATGCGTTGTTGATAAGGATTGATTTCTTTTTTAAAATATCATGGCTTGTTTTCATTTTCTTTTTCAAAGAAGCGATGAACTGTGACGCAATCTTTTTTTCTGTATAGAAAAAAAATAAATAAAATTTATTAACATGTACTCGAATACGCAAAACCAACTGATGACTGTATACCATAGAAAAATCGTATGTTTTGTTGACGATTAAAATAGCAAACGCCAGCGTATTTTTCATTGTTTACATAATATCAAGCTTGTTTTTATCTCAATCAAACAACACAGAGAGAGAGAGAGAGAGACTATTTTGTGTTTTATTTTCTTTGTTAAAATCATTCTTACTTGTAAAACGAAGGAAAAAATCAACAACATTTATACTGTCAAAGAATGAATTAGTTTTTTTATTTTGCTTTTTTCTTCTTCTCTCTTCTATTAGCCTTTACCTGAAAAATGGTGATGTTATGGCTGACTCTACACAGTAGTTATGGATGAATGAACAGCGGGTTAACTCCTATTGGTAATGAATAATATATTAGGTGAAGGCTGTATGCAAGCGTTTAAGAAAAAAGAAAAAAGAAAAAGGACAAAGTGAGGTTTTGTGTGCATGAATACTTACAACGAACAGATACCCATCAATTAACAGTATAGTTATAGATATTAACAACCTTGAGAGGAAAAAAAGGCTACCGTCATCGATTTTTTTTCCTCGAGAATATTCGATTATCCAACGCGAGTATAAAAGGCGATGTTTACCTATGTACAGACGCTTTTTTTGAGACTGGTTGGTTAATAGTCCGCTTATTTTTTTTATTTGTTATTTCATCTTAATTAAATCTAAAATATGGTTGCCATCGATCGTGTTGGACACGTTTATCCATCAGTTCATCTTCAAGAGATGCTTAATCTTGCTCAAAAAACAGCACCATTAGCTACACCAACTCAATATACTAGTACAACATTACATGATCCCGTTGCTAGTGTGATGAATGGTAATTTTACACAGAAAATTTCACCATCACAATTTGGTCTTGCTAATAATCCATCGTTACAATTTGCAACGCCAGGTGGCGGTTTCGTTGAAGTATTTGGTCCATTGCAAACACCAAACAATGATAAATTCTTTCATGATCCTAACCCAGTCATTATTCAAAAGAAATCGAAACCAATTACATACGTACAAAAAATTAATTTAGCTTATTATAAACCACCAGCACCACCAGCTCCCGGCCCAGTCATTATTAAAGAAGTAAGAATCTGAGAAAAACAATTAAAATTTTTAATAAATATTTTTATAATAAGGTCCGTCCACCTCAAGCACCAGCTCCACCACCACTCTATGTTCGCATACAGCCACCACCACCCCAACAACAAGCGCCACTAGTGATTCGTGAAGCTCCACCTCCACGACCAAAACATATTCCAGTAAATATTATTTTAAGCAAAAAAATATTGATTTATCATCTTTGATTTATTTTTTTCTAGACAACTGTATTAACTAAAGTATTACCAGCTATGCCAACACCACCGCCAAACGTACAAGTACGTAATGCTCCTGATCAAGCAACACTCGAAAGAACATTAAACAATATGGGTCTTACATCACAATACAATCAATAATAAATAAAATAAAACTAAAAAATACAAAAACAAAAAAAACAAACAAACAAATAAACAAACTTTTACTTTTTTTCAGTATGTGCTTGTATGATGAGTTTAGATGTGTTAGCTTTATATCTATTCGCTTTCTAAATCTCTTCAACGGTGGCTTGTGTGAGTATGCAATCAATCGATAATCTATACTTCTATCAATATATCTATTTGTTCAACCGTTTTATTGTGCTCTTTTTTTCTCAGCTTCTCTTTGGCGCATGAAATGTGATCTTTGTGTCAACATTTTTATTTTTATCAAGTTTTCTGTTTTTGTGTCCTGTGTCGTTCATTTGGCAAATGTCGATCGTTAGTCATAGATGATACGGTTGATACAATCAAGAAACTACGATAAGCAAGAAAAAAAACAATATTAGCTCGATACACATTTCGAATATGTAGTGTTTAGACAAAAAACATATTCATAAATATTTAAAAACAATTAAAATAAATAAAGAATTGATGTGTTATTCTTTAAGCAAGTATCTTTTAATCTTTTTTCTTTTGATTATTGGTGGTTGTTTTGGAAAATCATAATAATTTGGTTATGCTTGAAAGATGATAATGACGTAGTAGGCTTTTTATTTTGACGATTTGTTTTCGAGATTATTACTCATTAACTAATTTTTTTTCGTATTTACGAGACAATTTCGCTCTAAAATTTGTCGCTGTGTCCTGTAACACGCCTTTAAGCAATTAATACCTGTCGGATATACGTACACAATTTGTTTTCGACGGAAAAAAGTATTTTTGATTTTATCCCGCTTTCTCAAAGGTAATCTACCGTCAATTATCTATGGTTATTGGATTAATCATAGAAAGTCAAGACTTGTCATATCGATATAACTGAGTACATTTGTATGATGAGAAGAAAACTATTTTGTTGGGTATGCATTTTTCAGAATCATGCACGATTTAAAAATGAAACGCACTTTCTGTGACCTAATTACGAATCGCTATTGTTTATGTATAATTCTATTTTGTGTACTCAAAGAACAAAAGTGAGTACACTATAGAATCGGTCAATGTGTCCGGCCGTCCGGCCGTTGACACGATAGCTCCTGACAGCTGATCCGATTGCCATGAAATTTTGTACACACAATGATCTCATTAATATCTCAGTCGAGTTCGAAGATGCGAGGGATCCGTCAAGAAATGGCTGAGTTATCGAAAACATTGTCATTATTGCATCCCTGAGGGGGGGGGGGGGGATCCGGGGATTTTTAAAAAATTTTT